ACCTTTTTATTTCATTTATTTTTTACATACAGTATTATATTGACTCCAAGTATACAACAGTGATTCAAAATATCTAGTTTATTAAATGTTCACTCTCACTAGTGTAGTTATGGTCTGTCGACATAGAAAAATGTTGCACAACTACTGACTATATTCTCCATGCTGTACTTTCAATCCCATGACTAATTTATATTATGATTAAGATTTTGTGCTTCTTTATCCCCTTCACCCATCCACCCTACGTCTTTCCCTGTAGTAAACACCAGTCACTTCTCAGTGTCTGTGTCTATTGTTGTTCCGTTCATTTTGTTTTGCTTTGTTTCAGATTCCACATATTATATGGTATTTGTCTTTTTCCACCTGGTTTATTTCACTGAGCATAATACCCTCTAGGTCCATCCATGTTGTCACAAAGGGCAGGATTTCTTTCTTTTTTATGGATGAATAATATTCCATTGTGTATGTGCACCATTTCTTCTTTATCCATTTGTCTATTGATGGACACTTTGGTTTCTTCCATATCTTGGTGTTGTAAATAAAGCAGCAATAGACAGAAGTGCACTTACCTCACTGAGTCAGAGATTTTGTTTTCCTTGGGTAAATTCTTAGAGTGGAATTACTGAGTCATATGGTATTTCAATTTTTAGATTTTTGCGGAACCTTCATGCTGCTTTCCATAGTGGCTGCACCAATTTACATTCCCACCAACAGTGTAGGAGCATTCCCTTTTCTCCACATCCTCAGCAATACTTCTTTCGTGTCTTTTGGATGGTGGCCATTCTAACAGGTGTGAGGTAATTACCTCATTGTGATTTTGATTTGCATTTCTCTGATGATTAGCAATGTGTAGCATCTTCATTTGCCTATTGGTCAGCTGTATATCTTTTTGGGAGAAAGGTCTATTCAGTTCCTCTGCCCATTTTTTTTTGAGAGGGCATCTCTCATATTTATTGATCAAATGGTTGTTAACAACAATAAAATTCTGTATAGGGGACTCAATGTACAATCATTAATCAACCCCAAGCCTAATTCTCAACAGTCTCCAATCTTTTGAAGCATAATGAACAAGTTCTTACATGATGAACAAGTTCTTACATAGTGAATAAGTTCTTACATGGTGAACAGTGCAAGGGCAGTCATATCACAGAAACTTTTGATTTTGATCATGCATCATGAACTATAAACAATCAAGTCAGATATGATTATTCATTTGATTTTTATACTTGATTTATATGTGAATCCCACATTTCTCCCTTATTTTTTTTTTAAATAAAATGCTGAAGTGGTGGGTAGATGCAAGATAAAGGTAGAAAACATAATTTAGTGCCATAAGAGGACAAATGTAGATGATCAGGTCTGTGCCTATAGACTAAGTATTAATCCAAGCTAGACAAGCCTCTGCCCATTTTTTAATTGGGGTATTTGTTTTTATGCTGTTGAGTTGTATGAGTTCTTTATATATTTTGGATGTTAACCCCTTATTGGATATAACATTTATGAATATATTTTCCCATACTGTACGTTGCCTTTTTGTTTTATTGATGATGTCTTTTGTAATACAGAAGCTTTTTAATTTGATGTAGTCCCACTAAGCTTTTGTATCCCTGGTCCAGGGAGATGTGTCCAGAAAAAAATTACTCATGTTTATGCTCAAGAAATTTTTGCCTATGTTTGTTATATATGGCCTTTATTATGTTGAGGTATGTTCCTTTATACCCACCTTTCTTCTAAGAGTTTAATGGCTTCACATCTTATATTAAGGTCTTTAATCCATTTTGAGTTTACCTTTGTGTATGGTGTTCGGGAATAATTCAGGTTCACTTTTTTGCATGTAGCTGTCCAGTTTTTCCAAAGCCATTTATTGAAGAGACTGCTTTTTTCCCATTGTATATTCTTGCTTCCTTTGTCATAGATTAATTGATGACATATGAGTGGGTTTATTTCTGGACTTTCTATTTAGTTCTGTTAATCCACGTATCTGTTATTGTGCCTGTACCATACTGTATTAATCACTGTGGCTTTCTTTGTAGTACTGCTTAAATGAGGGAGCATAATAATCCCAGCTTTGTTCTTCTTTCTCAAGATTGCTTTGGCATTTTGGGGTCATTCATAGTTCCATATAAAGTTTAGAATTATTTGCTTTGGTTCATTGCTTTGGGCTGGTTGGCCATTTTGACAATATTAATTCTTCCTATCCATGAGCATGGGATATATTTCCATTTATTGTTGTCTTATTTAATTTCTCTCATGAGTGTCCTGTGGTTTTCAGGGTATAGGTCTTTCACCTCCTTTGTTAGGTTTATTTTTTGTTTGTTTATTTATTTATTTACTTATTTATTTATTTATGATGCAATTGTTTTCTTGATTTCTCTTTCTGCTGGTTCATTGTTTGTTGGGAGCAAACCTGTGGGCCTTTAGGCAGACTCGGTCACAAAAGCCTTAAGACAACAGCAACGTTTGAGTAAAGTCTTTCCTGTAAAGTCAGCAACAATGAATCCATCCATGCGTTAGAAACAAGTTTTCCCCTATTACCAAAAAAAGCATTTAGTGAACTCCTAGGTTAGAGCTAGTGGTTAGGTTACCTCGCAACATGTGCTTTTCTAGGTTAGAGCTAGTGGTTAGGTTACCTCCCAACATGTGTTTTTTCTGTCCTTTGTTAATCAAGAAACACCCTCTGCCCCAGGGGAAAGCCCCTCCCTTAAAACCTCCCTCCCAAGGACCCCCACCCCCAAAATGGCGAACTCCCCGCTTCTCTTCCGGGTCCTCCGTTCCCGCCGGCGCCAACCAAGACCCAAACACCCCTCTACACCTCCCCGCCGGCGCCACCTAAGATCCAATTATCTCCTGACCCACCCCTTACTTGCTAACCTGTATAAATTGAGCCTGCAAACAATAAACTGTGCCAGCTTGATCAGACATCCTGTCTTGCTGGTCGTTCTTTGTGTCCCTTGCCTCTCTTTTTTTTTTTTTTTCAATTCTCTCCTCCAGGTCGTTGACCCCCGTTGATAGTCCTGCAGGTTGGGACAATTGTTAGTATATGGGAATGCAAAATATTTTGTATATTGATTATGTATCTTATGATTAAGTTACATTGCTGAATCCAATTATTAGTTCTAATTGATTTGTTTGGTGAATTCTGTAGGGTTTGCTATATATAATATCATGTCATCTGCAAACAGTGACAGCTTTCTTCCTTACCAACTTGGATGCCTTTTTTTATTGGGTACTTTTTATTTTTGAATTGTAAGACTTCTTTACATATTCTGGATATAAGTCCCTTGTCAGATATATGATTTACAAATACTTCCTCTTATTCTGTGAGTTGTATTTTCACTTCCTTGATAGTGCCCTTTGGAGCACAAGAGTTTTAATTTTTATGAAGCTCAGTTTGTCTATTCTTCCTTTTATTCCTCATACTTTTGGCATCATCTCTTAAAATCCTTTAACAAATCTAAGATCATGAATATTTGCTCCTATGTTTCCTCTAAGAGTTTAATAATTTATCTCTTAAATTTTGGTCTTTGATCCATTTTTAGTTAATTTTTGTAAATGATGTGAAGTAAGCGTCAACCTTCAGTCTTTTGCATATGCTTATCCAGTTGTTCCAGCACCATTTGTTGAAAAGACTATTCTTTCCCCATTGCATGATCCTGGTACCCTTGTTGAAAATCAGTTGAATACAGACATACGGTTTTATTTCTGGACTCTCATTTCTATTCCATTGATCTATATGTCCATCCTTGTATCAGTGTCAACTCTCTTGATTACTGCTGCTTTGTAGTAAATTTAGAATTCAGGAATTGTGAATGTCCCTACTTCATTTTATTTTTCAAGATTGTTTTGGCCATTCTGGTTCCCTTGCAATTCATATGAATTTTAAAATCAGCTTGCCTAATTCTCACTACAAGGACATCAACTAGGATTCTGATAGTGATTGCATTGAGTCTGTAGATCAGCTTGGGGAATACTGTCATCTTAACAGTGTTAAAACTTCCTGTCCATGAATATAGGATGTTTTTCCAATTAGTTGGGTCTTCCTTAATTTGCTTCAACAATGTTTTGTAATTTTCAGAATATAAGTGTTGTACCTCTTTTGTTAAATTTAATCTTAGTTAAATTTCTGACACTATTGTAAATGGAATTGTTCCTTCATTTCACTTTAAGTCCACTTTACAACTGATTTCTGTATATTGATCTTGTATCTGAAACCTTGCTACACTTAATTAGGTTTTTAGTGTATATCTTAGGGTTTTCGATATATAAAAGTATGTCATTTGTGAAAAGAGAGAGTTTTATTTTTTCCTTTCCAATCTGGATGACTTTTATTTAATTCCCTTACCTAATTTCCCTGATTAGAACCTGCAGTACAATGTTGAATACAAGTGGTGAGAACAGACATCCTTGTCTTCTTCCTGATCTCAGGGGAAAGCATCGCATCTTTATTTTTCTTTCTTTTTGAAGCAGAGTAAAGGTTTTATTTAAAGTTACCCACTTAAAGTGAGAGAAAGTGTGGGTGACCTCAGAGAAGAGGCACTCCCTGAAAAGTTGAGAGAAAGTTTTATTTAAGGTTACACAGTAAGTGAAGGCAACCTGAGAGAGAGACACTGAAAGGTTTAAGTTTTATTTAAAAAGAGAAAGTGTGGGTGACCTCAGAGAGAGGCATGCTGAAAGACTGGGGGCTCCTCCATTTTAAGGATTTTTCAGGAATGTGAGAAAAGGGCTAGGAGTGTGGACTTTTCAGGTGGTCTCAAGATGTTTATCTTTGATGAGAGATACTACATTTCTTCTTTTCTATTATCAGTCCTCCAGGTAATTCAAATAAAGTTCAAGGGTCCCCTTGGTTGCTCCAAACCACATGGGCTTATCTCCATTACTTTACTTTGATATTTTCAATTTTATGCTTGATTCATTTTTCTGCCTCATGCTTTTGTCTTCATATGAAATATCCTCAACTACAAATTGGATTAAGACAATAAGCCCTTTTGTGACCACTGTGAAAGAAGGGGTGCACTGTTCCTAGAAGTACTGCAATACCAGGCTGATGCATGAAGTGGATGGAGCAAGTTCCTAGTCCAAATTTCTGCTCCAAAAATCCATTTAATATATTGTCCTCAGATAGAGAACATATCAGATATTAAACTGATAAGAACAGATACTACACTTGATCTTAGCCAAAAGGCCGAGAAGCGATTCATCTTTCTTTATTAAGTATGATGTTAGCTGTGGGTTTTTTTGTAGGTGCCCTGTATCAGGTTTAGGAAGTTCCCTTTCATTCCTAGTTTGTTGAATATTTTTATCATGAAAAGGTGCTGGGTTTGTCAACTGCTTTTTCTGCATCTACTGAGAAGATCATGAGATTTTTTTAATTGTTTTGACATGATGTATTAGATTAATTGATTTTCATATGTTAAACCAACCTTGCATTCCTGAGATAAATCCCACTTGGTCATGGTGTATAATTCTTTCTATACGATTTTGGATTTGGTTTCCTAGTATTTTGTTGAGGATTTTTACATCCATATTCATAAAAGTTACTGTTCTTTTTCCTTTCCTTCTGATGTCTTTGTCTAGTTTTTGTATCAGACTAATGTTGGCCTCATAAAATGAGTTGGGAATTGTTCCCTCCTCTTATATTTTTTGGAAGAAAAGTTTGTAAATAATTTTTATTAATTCTTCTTTAAATGTTTGATAGAATTCAGCATTGAAGCCATCTGGGTCTGGTTATTTCCTTGTGGGTAGTTTTTATATTATTAATTAAATCTCTTCATTTTTTATAGGTCTAGTCAGATTGGCTATTTATCCTTTAGAAAGTTCCAGTAGTTTATGTCTCTTTAGGAATTTGTCCAATTAATCTAAGATCCCTAATTTGTTGGCTTATAATTGTTCATTATAGTACTTTATAATCTTTTTTATTTCTGTAAGGCTGATAGCAATGTCCCCTCTTTTATTTCTGATTCTAATAATTTGAGTCTTCTCTCTTTTCATTTTTGTCACTCCAGCTAAAGGCTTATCAATTTCCTTTATATTTTCAAGGATTAGCTTCTGTTTTCATTGATTTTTCTCTATTGTTTTCCTATTCTCTATCTCATTAATTACCACTCTAATTTATTACTTCCTTCCTATTGATTAGTTTAGGTTCAGTTCTTATTTTTAAAGTATCTTAAGTTAAAAGGTTAAGCTATTGATTTGATGAGATCTTTCTTCTTTCTTAATATAGGTATTTTGCAACTATAAACTTCCATCTAGGACTACATCACATAAGTTTTGACATGTCATGTCTTTCATTCATCTCAAAATATTTTCTGATTTCCCTTTTGATTTCTTCTTTGATCCATGATTTATTTAGGAGTGTAGTTTAAGTGCCACATTTTAGTGAATTGCTTATATGTTTAACAGCTGGCTAATTATGGAATTGTTTTTAATAATGCCCCGGGGCATAAATTGCGTTATAAACTAACCCAGTCAATTTGTAGATCTTTTAAAGAAATGGTTTCTGAAATCAGTGTTTGATATTTGTTCTGACCCTAAAGGGTCCTCCTAGCTGTCTTATTCCCCAGTTACCTTCTGTAAACTAGCTGGCTTAGAGTTTAGCCTATATCTTGGGTGTCCTACAAATAAATGCCTTTCACCATAACCTACACTGTTCTTGAAAGTGCCCTCAGTTTTGAACTACTCCATGTTTCCCTGAAAATGATATTATTTCCTTTGGAAAGGGGCTCTCTCTTCATGTCCTGCTTCTCTCCCTGGCACAATCTCTGAAGCAGTGTTATGAAACCAGGGATAGAGACAGTGGCAAGCTTCTGCCTGAGTGACACCTCCACTGTAAGAGATAAACACTTGGTTCAAGGAGGGCAGCAGTCTATGGTTCTCTCAACTTGCCCCTCCTGGTGTGAAACCACAGCCTCAAGAGCTTAGGCAAGGTGACCAGTGCCCCAGTCTTCTCAACATGCTGTGCCCAGGGTACAGTCTCCATTCTATGAGTGTAAGCTGGGTCACAAGACCAAAACCCCCTCTTAACCACATTTACCTTGGTACTCAGCCTCAGCAACAGGTAGCTTGGGGCAGGATGAGAAATGCTGCCATCTCGCTCCTGTTGAGAAGAAAGCCTTCCAACTGGATGCTGGAGGGAGAGGGAGCCTTCTGTTTGTGGCTGTAGGAGTGTGGAATGGGGAGCCCCTGACTCTGAGGTGAGAGGGAGAAAGGAGGTAATGGTTCTGGTTTACATATCACATACTCTCACCTTCTTACTAAAATTTCATATTTTTTCTTGAATATATTTGCTGTTTGCCTTAGGACTGTTTGCATCCTAGACCTTTTAATTATTCTGTTACTTTTTTTGTTTTGCTACATTTATTAACTCCTATTCCTCTCTATAAACAGGAGGGTGTTAAGGGCAGCAGTGTCCAAAGGGTGGCACACATCCCACTGAGGTATGATCAGCAACAGGACCCATTAGATAATTTTCAAATATACATAGGTATGTGGATATGACAAAATTTTCAATATGTTAAAAAAATCTTATTATGTTAAAAATGTTAAACTGAAGTTTGGGAAGTATCACCATAGGGAAAAGGATGTAAACTTTAAAAACAAACTTCTCATTCAGTCAGTCAACAAATATGTATTAAGTCCCTACTATAGGTCAAGCAACAGTCAAGGATATAAAGATATAACAGTGAAGAAAACAGAAAAAATATCCCTGGCTTCATGGAGTTTGCATTCTATTAGGTATGAAATTGCCAATATTAGACCATTTATGACCAACAAAAATAGCAATTTCATATGATTAGACCTGTAAGTAGAGGAAAATTACCAGCTCTATCACTTGTTAGCCATCTGATCCTACATAAATCACTCAACCTCTTTGATCCTCAGATTCGCTACATGGAAAATTAACATAAAATAATTTTTGTGATGATTCTCTAAGTTGATAAGTGGGGAGATGTCTAGTATACTGCTTAATATATAGTAGGTGCTTGATATATATGAGTTTTCTTACTTTTGAACCACTTCCGGACAAACATCAGTGCAATTTGTATGCTTATTTCAAAAGACAAAAGGAAACACAGAGCGGAGCCAGGATGGTGGCGTGAGTAGAGCAGCAGAAATCTCCTCCCAAAACCACATATATCTATGAAAATATAACAAACACAACTCTTCCTAAAATAGAGACCAGAGGACACAGGACAACATCCAGACCACATCCACACCTGCAAGAACCCAGCGCCTCGCGAAGGGGGTAAGATACAAGCCCTGGCCCGGCGGGATCTGAGCACCCCTCCCCCCGGCCCCTGGCGGGTGGAGAGGAGTCAGCAGGGAGGGAGAGAAGGCCCAGGACTGCTGAACACCCAGCCCTAGGATTCTGGACCAGAGCACAGACACAGTGCATGCGTGGGGTACTGGATACTAGGGAAACAGGGTAACAGGACCGGTGAGCAGGTGCCTGAGGCTGACACTGGAGAACAAAGAAACGGGAGTGATTTTTTTTTTGGTGAGTGCTTTTTGGAAGCCTTAAAGGGACAGGGACCCCAATACTAGGGAAACAGGGCAGCAAGACCTGTGAGCGGGTGCCTGAGACCGGCGCCTGAGGACAAAGAAAATCGTGCGCTTTTCCCTTTTTTTTTCTTTGGTGAGTGCTTTTTGGAAGCCTTAAAGGGACAGGGACCCCAATACTAGGGAAATAGGGCAGCAAGACTGGCGAGTGGGTGCCTGAGACCAGTGCCTGAGGACAAACAAAATCATGCGATTTTCCCTTTTTTTTTTTCTCTTTCATTGTTGCTGTTGTTGTTTTGGTTTGGAGAGTGCTTTTTGGAAGTCTTAAAGGGGCAGGACAGGACACTTAGCCCAGAGGCAGGGAATCTGGGGATCTCAGGGCACTCTAACCCCCTGGGCAACAGGGAGCACAGAGGCCCCTTACGGAGATAAATAGCCTCCCAGCCACTCCCGCTACAATGGGGCTCCACCATTTTGGAGGAGCAGCTCGAGCCAGGCCACACACTCAGCAACAGTGGAGATAAACTCCAAACCAACCGGGCAGGTAGCTGAAGGCCTGTCTGCGCACACCTGCCAAGCATAAGCCACTAGAGGTCGTTATTCTTCCAGGAGAGGAAGGCCACAAACCAACAAGAAGGAAAGCTCTCCCAGCTGTCACTCGTACCAGCTCTGCAAACTATCTCTATCACCATAAAAGAAAAAATTACAGGCAAAGATCACAGAGACAACACCTGAGGAGACAGACGTAACCAGTGTCTCTGAAAAAGAATTGAAAACAAAAATCATGAACATGCTGACAGAGATGAGGAGAAAAATGCAAGAGCAATGGGATGAGATGCAGAGAAAAATGCAAGAGCAATGGGATGAAGTCTGGAGGGAGATCACAGATGTCAGGAAGGAGATCACAGAAGTGAAACAAACCCTGGAAGGATTTATAAGCAGAATGGATAAGATGCAAGAGGCCATTGAAGGAACAGAAACCAGAGAACAGAAACGTATAGAAGCTGACATAGAGAGAGATAAAAGGATCTCCAGGAATGAAACAACACTAAGAGAATTATGTGACAAATCCAAAAAGAATAATATTCGTATTATAGGGGTACCAGAAGAAGAAGACAGAGGAAAAGGGATAGAAAGTCTCTTTGAAGAGATAATTGCTGAAAACTTCCCCAAACTGGGGGAGGAAATAATCGAACAGACCACAGAAATACACAGAACCCCAACAGAAAGGATCCAAGGAGGACAACACCAAGACACATAATTAAAATGGCAAGGATCAAGGACAAGGAAAGAGTTTTAAAGGCAGCTAGACAGAAAAAGGTCACCTATAAAGGAAAACCCATCAGGCTAACATCAGACTTCTCGACAGAAACCCTACAGGCCAGAAGAGAATGGCATGATATACTTAATGCAATGAAACAGAAGGGCCTTGAACCAAGGATACTGTATCCAGCACGACTATCATTTAAATATGATGGTGGGATCAAACAATTCCCAGACAAGCAAAAGCTGAGGGAATTTGCTTCCCACAAACCACCTCTACAGGGCATCCTACAGGGACTGCTCTAGATGGGAGCACCCCTAAAAAGAGCACAGAACAAAACACACAACATATGAAGAATGGAGGAGGAGGAATAAGAAGGGAGAGAAGAAAAGACTCTCCAGACAGTGTATATAACAGCTCAATAAGCGAGCTAA